CATGTGGTCTTCATACCTCCACGTTATCTATACTAGATTGTTGTTACCAAATAGAAGTGCCCATGGGACTCTTTCTTTTTCTAAGAATGTGAATTATATTATTATTAATGCCTTAAATCTTGTTCTTTTGATTTTAACCACCTGTGCATCTCGTATATTTTTGCATATAAATTTGACTTCTTCCTCTTTTATGTTTGCTAAAAGGTCCCAGATTGTTAGAAATTTGTCTGTTTTTTCTTTTTCTACTTCTTTTCCTTTATCCTTTTCGTTAAACATTTTTGTTGTGATGTTTTTTTTCTCTTTTTGATTACTGTATAATGCTTTTGCTTCTATATATTGTTCTGTTCTTGTCTTTTCTTCTTTTGTAGCTTCTGTTATTATTATATCTTTCTTGTGAAGTTCTTTTATTGTTGCTTCTCTGCTACTAATACAATTAAAATCTAACTCCATCTATTTGTTTCCTTTTATTACTTTTTCTTCAACTGACTTTATATGCTTGATTTCTCCTAGTACAGTTTAATATATTGCAGTCTTTTTTGTACTGTGTTTTCTTTCAGATTGCTAATTGATATTTGGGTTTTGTATGAACTGTTGTTGCTGCATTCTCTATTTGTTAGGGCCCATATACTGTGTTCTAGTGAAATATTTGTTTCTTTTTTATACTATGGTTGTTCTTCTAACTTCTTAGTTTGCGACTTTTTCCTTTCTTGTTTTTCTGTTTTATCAATAGCTTTTTCTTTCTTCTCACTTGTTTCTTCTTCTTTTTCTTTTTCTTTTTCTTTTTCTAGTTGTTGTCTTCTTCTTTTACTACCTTTCGCTTTAGCATTTTTGCTACTTTTAGTAATTTCTATTTCTTACATCTTGTTTTCGTTTACAGAATTCTCTTTTAACTTCATGTTTAAAAGAAATTCAACTAATTTATGGGTTCAGACTCATGTTTCTGATTTTTCTAACACATTCTTCTATGCTTTTGTTTTGTAATTCTATACTATTTGCTTTCCTAAGTGCTATTATTATTTGACCATATAGAAGCAAATCATATACTGTGATTCTATCTACATCTTCTACTACTAAGCTTTTTGCTATTAACTCTATATCATCTGGGCTTGCTGGTTTTGTTGTATCTAAGACTTTAATAATTTTTTTGTTATCCATATATCTTATTACTTTTGCCCCATAATCGCTAACATATCTAAGTAAACTCTGTGTTTGTGTAGTTTTTATATTTCCCAAATCTTGTTCTAGTCTACTTTGCATATCTAATTCTATTCCTGTTTCTTTGTTTATTTTATTATACGTGTTGTTTATTTCCAAATTTGTATTTGTGTTTGTTTACTTATTGTTTGCTCAGATGACTGATCACGTGTAGTTGTTTGTTCTTTTCTGAGTCAACTGTAGTTCCTTAGAAAATTCCAATTTTTTCTAAATTTTTCTTTATTTTTGACAAAAACTGCTGTGATGTTTTATAGTTTACTTCTTTTGCTACAACTTTGTATTTTACTTATGTGCTTTGACTGTCTTCTTCTTTTTTCTTAATGCTTTTCTGTATGTTTCTTATACTGTTTGTTAAGTTATTTATGATTTTGTATTCTAACTAAATTTATAAAAAGGATCAATGAAAAGAGGATTTTATGTCTGTTGATAACCAGTTTGAATCTTTAGTAATGTTATATTTCATATAGATGCTTTGAGCTTTCAATGACAAATAGAACCCAACTTGGTATACCTGGATTACAGTTGCATAAGACCAACTAGTTAACAGAAAACAGTTTTCATAACACAGATTAATTTTCAAATTTTATCATAGGTGAAATTTGAATCTTAAACCTGTTACTTGGAGAATGACAACCCAACTACTACACTAGGATCATCATCCTTGTTTTACAACTTTATTAGATGCTTACAAGATGTTAAATTAATAAAAATTTAACTTTAAATAGTCAAAAATGCTAATTTCAATATTTTATATATAACTTTATAAATTTTATTAAATTAGATTTTTAATTTAAATTACTACAATCTTTTAGAAGCACTATAATAAAAATATTAAAAATTTTTAAACATACTAATAAATTAAATTAAATTCTTTTATGTACATAATTATAAATTTGGATTTTAGTCACTGGTTATAACTAATTAATTAATTAGTTGCAACTAATTAAATAATTAAATTTCAATTTATTGAAATTAATTAATTAATCGCAAATATTTATTAATCGATTAATCAACTAGTTGGTATTAAAAAAGTTCAATTGACTTACCTTAACACAAAAAAAAAAAAGTTCAATTGATTAGTTGTTACTAATCAACTGATCGATTTTTTTAACTTTCTATTTGTAGCATTACGTACATACATATATTTGCGTAATACATATAGAAATTAGAAATCAATTAACAAGTTATTAAGAAATTTTGGCATAATCATAGCTTTCTAATTCAAATATGTATACTAACAAGATCCTAAATCAATGAAACTTGTTTATTGGCCAAGGTAGATACTATCATATATTCGACTATCTCGATATATAAACTTTTATAATATAAAGCAAGCAGGCTTAAAATATTTTAAAATTTAAGCTGACCGGGCCGGTTATGGGAGTGGTGTGACATAGAGTAAGTCATTAAAATCTCAATCACACGGATAAAATTAAACTGCCTTGATTTCAGCAAGATCATAAATCTGAACTCACGGTTGCAATATAGATCACGATGTATTACAATGCTGATATAAATGATCTCTCTAGCCGAAAATAAATATCATATGAACAATTACAATTCCTGATTTGTTTATCTCAATGTATACATATAAAGTGTACAAACAATGTACAATGCTAAGTTTGGAAAAGAGCCGCAGAAATTATGCAAAATGCTAAACAGGATCTAAGTTTGCCGACTTTCAGAGTCTTTTTTTTTATTATAATACAAGCTTTTACATAACGATAAGCGTTCAGAAAGCAAAGATAGACAAATATATAAAGTTTGATTTAATAAAAGCCACAGGACAAAAGAATTTTTAAAGTCACATAGTCAATTATTAATGACAACAGCAGAATATCACCAAAATATTAATGTTATCAATCATTTTCATTGATTTCTAGGAATCGTACAGCCTTTCGTGGTCTTGTAGTCTCATGATCATGGAGATCTCGTGTTACACGATTTTCTTCACTTGAATCCTTTGCTTGAATATGAGAAGATGTCGTATTTATACACTTTTTGCGGGAACATCTTGCTTTTTGTAGTTCTTTCTCAAGCACCAAAGCTATCCACCGATTTTGTGCGACTATTAATTCGTTAATAAATGACATATCGGGCGGTAACTCATAATTCTTTCTGATGGCAGGTGCCAAGTAAAGATTATTTTCACCATATATACGGCTATTGTGGTCGCTGTTTCGACGACGACCTGGCGCATGATTTGATTCGTTTTCCATATTATGTTTGTTGTCTAACAATAGATTATATTCTGTAGCTTCGAGACTAAAGTCACATTTGATTTCTTTTGTAAGCGGAGAATATTTGTATAAAATCAATTCCGTAAAAGTGTAAACTTTTTTTTTTCTCGGTTTAACATTTGAATCCGGTTTCGTTGTATAATTAATTAATTTTGTAGACTTCACTGGAAGAATTTCATCTCGAACATTATTTTTTATGGTGGTAGTATCGATGGTAGCACAAGGATAATCGGTTCGTACTTGTGCACCATTATCATCCATGAATTTACCTTGTCTCACATGAAATTTAGTTTCAATCGCGGTGGATTGTTTAACCCTTTCTTTTTCATATGGTTTCTCTATAAGTGCCTTTTTTCCATGTTCATGTGTTCTCAGGGTTCGTGTCACATTATTCTTTGAATTATTAGAACCAAAAGTGGGATCACACAAAAGAATATCGATTATACTCGGCGAAGGCTCAATATTAATTTTTGTATTTGATGTGATAATGTTGTTATTGATGACTTCATCGTCAAAATTCATTAAATCCGTTTCTTGAGTTACAGTGGACGCGTCGCCAAGTATGGTCCCAGGTGAAGCAGTTTGTTTAGGCGGTTCCGTGACTGCGTATAATATACTTGAAATAATCTGGGATATTTGAAAAAGAAACGATGCCCACCATTTTGAGCTATGAAATTTGGGCAACACACTGACCTTCTACTTTAAACTCTGTTTTTTTCCATAAATCTTCTTTATGAAGCTTGACAAAAATAACATTAGGAAGTTCGGTTTTTTTCTTTAAAACTGTCGTCATATTTGATCGCTAAAAATGATAAACGCGTCAAATAAACCTTAGAAATTAATAATAAACTTTGAAAACTTTTTTTTTAAAAAAGAAAAACCTCTAATAATTAAAAGGATCATAAACGAACAAGAGTGACGAAACATATTTTTATAGTCTTATATTTATAGTTTAAACGTTAATATAGGTCAGATACGTGATATCACATCTATTATAATGACAACTTCATCACGCTATCAAGTAATACAAGAAATGCAGATCGGGAATTGAATTAACGTTAATTGCCGCAGCATTATCGTGGAAGAAATGTTTGCTTCTTCGTCATGAGATGCCATGAGTATCACGTACGTATATATGTACGTACGTACTTGCAATTGTTGTAAAATGTAGCAAGTGCAACTGCAACTTTATTATCTAATGAAATATCATTAGGTTGTACAATACAAAAGAGTGTCTAAAGAACTGCTTACTGAAAATGATAAAAATGATCAATCAGAATTCGTTTATATTCTTTTGTAGTAAATACAATACCAGATATAGTAAAGATAAACTGCGGTTTTGTCTGCGGCGTTCATTATTATCTTTCGCCCATTTTTTTTGAAGTTTTTAACTTTATTATACTACTTACTGCGTATTCCAACTTCATTTCCTTTTATCTAACCTTTATTCTCAAAATAATTTCTCTTTCCTAAGAAATGCTATTTTTGGTGTAAACCTTTGAATAAAATAATTCTTGATGATATTTCGACAAGGTGATTGTAAACATGAGCATTCAAAATGTGGTAGACTATCCAAGCGAGAAGTGCAACCCTTTGACTATGTCCTTGCAGTTACAGTCAACGGAAAATGTCTTGAAAAGAAGTTATCACTTCCAACAGCTAGACCAACAGCACCAACAATTTCAACCATTTGCACAAAAACGTAGAAAATTAAATGAATGTAGTTTTCAGTTACAAAGTATCTCGCCGCAGCAATCGATCCAACAACAGAGCAAACATGTCATAGACATGCAAAAAAAGCTACGGCCTCAGAGTTCTGCTATCTCGCTTCCCACCTGTCACGCTCCTTCATATTTCGGGCGTAGGTCTTGTAGGAATTCTAAAACTTTGCAAAGTAACTCTTTACGAAGTTCAAAATTCTCTTCGAACCCTGCTCAGTCTGGAATTCCGAATAAGGCTTTACAATTGGCATGTTCTGCTGCTACAATTCCTTTTTTAGTCAAGTCTTCTGAGTTCTATTTGACTTCTCAACATAAAACTGTCAATGATTTTTCGGAATGCGTCGACAAGGTATCTGATCATGATTCGCACATGTCAACCACTGACTTTAACAATGCTTCCATGGTTCCTGCCAATACGGCCAATACCGTTCATGATTATTCAACGGTTACCAATCATCCTGATGCTCCAGAAAACGTTAATCAAGAATTTTCTATTCTCAATATAATTCCATCTTTGATAAGTGAAAAACATAGAAAGGCTGCTTTTGTTGAAAATCTAGTCGGTAAGTGGTAGATTTTCGTTCTTACCTATTCATTCGGTCTTAAAATCATCTTGTAATATATTCTTTTTATTTCTCTATAAGACACTGCTGGCCTTATTATGGAGGTAATTTGGGCAAATTTTGCCATTAGCCCAAATGCGAAAATTATTACTTTACGTGTGTTTCTTCAGGAAACTTTGCGACGTTCTCGCACCTCTTATTCAACACTCCAAACGGCGTTATTCTATTTGTTTAGAATTAAACATAAAATTGCTTCCTTATCTCAACGCTCCGAACTGCCTCCTACACCAACTTCCGAACATCCTCCTGATGTGATCCAAAATTCATGTCAAAATAATGATCCTGCAACCTGTGGTCGGCGCATGTTTTTAGCTGCTCTGATTGTTGCATCAAAGTATCTTCAAGATCGCAATTATTCCAATCGTGCTTGGTCTAAAATATCTGGTCTTTCCATTGAGGAGATTAACGCAAACGAAGTTTGCTTTCTCAAACTTATTGATTACAACCTTTTTATAGCTGAGGACATTTTTAAACGCTGGAGTACTCTTTTGCTAACGCATATTCAAGCTATATCAGGACCAGATATATCAAATCCGGAGGCATTTAGGAATGCTGAAAATCAGAGTGAAGTTACTAGATTTCGTGAAACTTTAAGATTAATGGACCCAAAGACCATGGAATGTAAACGTCCCCTCAGATTTGGAATTTATCCTATCACTCCTGCAGTGAGTGCTCCAGGATCACCACGCGAATAATCTTAAGATATATCGCAAATTCCAATTTGTTTCATCTAATGCTATAGACACTCTTTGGATTCATATCTTTCATCAATTTTTTTAAGCTTTTAAATACATTAATACTATATAAATTACATGTAAGATTTTGTTGTATCCAAATATATACATGTGTAAATTTTATGTATATATATAAACTTACAATATTCTCTTATATGCAAATAAATAATACATTTATATCATTATTCCCATTATTCACGGTCATCAATTGTTATACAATAAATTTGAGATGACTACTTATCTTGGAACAAATAGTAACTTTTATACCAGAATATCTACGATATTGATCTCGATATTAAGACTTAAAGGTGTATATTCTTTATGGCTTATCTATTACAAATAGTGATAAAGTCTGATGATAAAACTTTTCCAAGACCATATGAAATGAATTTTTGGATGAAAGGCTTTTTCAGTGATATTGACAATTCTTGGATGTTTCATGATCACGTTGAATATTAAATTGCAAATTTTGTTTCAGCATTTAAACATCTAACCTTTTAGAACGTATTGTCCCCATAGTTTCCTCGAATAAAAACTTAAAACTCAACCGTCGCTATTTATTTGATCAAGGAAGTGTTAGTATCACCTGAATTTTTGTATAGTTGAGTTAAAAAAACAAAATTATATGTATGACCAATTTTTACTAACACTGCAATATTGTAATCCATTTTTTTTCAATTAAGTTGTTGGAAAATTTATTAGGTTATAGTGTGATGCATTTAATAAAATATTTTTATTGTTATTTTATGCAAATAAGAATACTAGGGATTAAGCCTAATATAACTAACACTTTTCACTTGGTATTTGGGTATATTCAATTATAGGACGTGGCAAAGGAACATTTACTATATAATTTATATAATCAATATTTGTTCATGAAGTGTTTCAATTTTTCAAATGGTTCTAGCTTTTTATTTACAAGGTTTTAAAAAAATTTGATCAGTAACTTTATAGAGCTATGTTAGCTTTACATACATATATACCAGATATTTTTTTTTTTTTTTAAGATGCCTCTTTGGTCTTTTGACTTTTATTAACAACTTTTTTGGTAATATGATTTAGTAAACCACAACTACCCCAGTGGCACTAACAAATTTTCACTAATTAACATTTTTTTTAAAGTCATAAAACGGTACATTAGTGTTAGGTTTATGATTATAACAAGATTTGTTTTATATTAAAATTTTGCAAAGAATTTTTTTTTACTAATATACAAAATTTTGAGTTATGGTGATTTTTTTTAGAAAATAGTAGTTTTTGTTTTGATTTCACATTACACCTGATCTTGTAATCTAATTGGTTAATTACTATTGATCAATAAAAATCTGTTAGTGCTACTGAGGCAGTTAATAAATTACTACAAAAGAGTATATAATTGGTTATATATATAATTTTTCTATATTACCTATTTAAAAAGTTTGCTTGAAGATTTTTTACCAATTGTTGTACTTAACATTTTTGCTTTAATGTTCTACTTTAAACTTTCTGAACTTGTAACTTATATTAGTTTTACTGGGTTATACCCAGATGTTCAGATTATCATTTCAATTTTGGAACTATTTTATCTTTAAAGTAAATTTCTTGAAGTCTTTTATACTTATTTTTATAGTTAACTTAATATTACTATAGCAAAATTAATACTTGTAGTTAGGATTAATCATTAAACTGTTATATTCTTATAAAGTTCACATAAATTTTAGTATCTACTTTATAACATATCCCTAGTACTTTAATATATTTCTACTTTTTCATTAGATTTTTAATTCAAATAGTTTATATAAGATTATAACTAATTTATCAGTATATTAAATCAGTTTAATATTCTTTTTTTTTAGTTCATTTTAGCAGTCTAGTTGATAGTACTTTTAAGTCTTTTTTAACTTAAAGGTTCTTGCCTATTTGGATATTATAACCTTGGTATCTGTGTTTAGTAATCTAATCTTTATAATAGTAATATTAAAGATTTAATTATTTCTTTATTTAAATCTTTTCAAATAGATTTATTGTTATTTAATTTTAACAAATTTATACATTTATAAGAATTTATCTAGTGTTTGTATTACCTGATTGTTGGTTTGCATTTCTATATATAATTTCAACATTGCATAGATGTTTTATGATCTGCCAGTTATATTAGTATGACTGCTATTACAGATATTTTAATTTAATTATTAGTAACAATTATCATAATATAAATATTATATAGATGATTATTCAAATTTTTACTATCAATAGGATTTGAATATCCAACCTACTATTTAGAAAATTAACAACCTAACTATTTTACTAGACCATCATACTCTATTAGATATTTTTTCAAATTTTATTATTATAAAAGTTTTAATAAATTAAAATTAAAAATTTTATATATAATTTTATAAATTTATATATATAATATATTTTTATTTTAATAATATTATAAGAAAATATCCTCAAAGATTTATAAAAAAAAAAATACTCTTTTTGCTAATCTACATTTTTTTTTTTTTTTTTTTTTGGTATTAAGGTGACCTCTTTGGTCTTTTGACTTTTATTAATCACTTATTGGTATTGTAGTTCAATGAACCATTACAGGAGAGCATACAATTGGCTACATGTATAACTTTTCTATATTACCTATTTAAGGAGTCCATCCAAAGATTTCCTACCAATTGCTGTACCTAACACCTCTGCTTGGGTGTTCTACTTTAAACTCTCTGAACTTGTAATCTGTGTTAACATCACTGGTCATTTCTGATGTACCAGATCATCGTCCTCAAACTTAGGACTAATTTATCCTTGAGGTAAACCTCCCAAAGCCTTCTGTACTCATTTTTATAGCTGATCTAGGTATCGCTATGGCAGAACCAACACTTGTGATCAGGGCTAATCATTAAACTGCTATGTCCTTGTAGAGTTCACTTAAACCCCAGCATCTACTTCACAGCATAACTCCAGTACTTTAGTATACCCCTGCCTTTTGTCCAGCCTTTTTACCAAACTTCCAATCCAGATAGCCCATGTAGGACTACAACCAGTTCATCAGTATATCGAGTCAGCCCGATATCCTTTTCCTTCAGTTCATTCCAGTGGCCTAGTTGGTAGTACCTTCGGGACCAACCTAGAGGTTCTTGCCTGTCCGGCTACTATGACCGGTTACTATGACCTTGGTATCTGTTTCCCTGGGCTAGTCTTTACAGTAGAGCCATCGAAGATCCAGCTACCTCTCTACTCGAGTCCTCCCAAATAGACTTTTTGTTACCTAATTTTAACAGATTTACACAGCCACAAGGACTTATCTAGTGTTTGCACTGCCCGATTTGTTGGTTTGCATTTCTCTGTGTAATGCCATACTTACACAGATGCCCCATGACCTGCCAGTCATGCTGGTGTGACCGCCATT